ATTAATTAATTAACGGTTAATATTAACAATTAATCTTATTTATCTTTGTTAACATTTAAATCTTAACAATCAATAACATTATAGTAAATTTTTTAAAAAAAAAAAAAAACTTAAAATAAAAATTCCAAAATATAAAAACAATGCATACTATATTTGATTTGCAATAATTTGCTTCACATATCAAATAACGTGAATCATTACTATCCCAACAATGAAAACCTGGTAGATAATCCAGTAGACGATATCGTACTTGTTCTTTTTCAATCTTACTAAAATTAAGAATTGATTAGTCTAATTTCACATCAAAAGTAATTTAAAGTAATTAATAAAGTAATTTAATAATTTACATTATTTTACTTTGCTTCTTTATTGAAACATCAGAAGCAATTTGAAGTAATTAATAAAGTAATTTAATAATTTATTTTGAAGTAATTAATAAAATAATTTCATAACTTACTTTATTTTACTTTACTTCTTTATTGAAACATCAAAAGTAATCTGAAGTAATTAATAAAGTAATTTAATAATTTATTTTGTTTTATTTTACTTCTTTATTGAATTTATTTTCATTTTTAAATTCAAAATATTAATTAAAAGAATTTACCGTACAACAGCTGTATTTGCTCGCTTTCCAGCAGTAGATGAAGCATTAGAATCTGTTTCATATTGTTGCTGATCAGTCATACCAGTGGTAAAATTGAAATTTGAAATTGAATCTGAGTCAGCATCCCAAACCATAATACCTGGATAAACCTTTAAAAAAATATATAATTCGTGAATTCTTTTTTTTTTGGAAATTCATTTAAAGTATCATCATTTAATTATATCAATTAATCATAACAAATACTAATTTACATTATTTATTACCGTAGAATCCCTATAAAAATGATCAATTCCTTAAGGAAGAATAATTTTCGTTGTCAATAATATTTTTTTCATTATCAATTGTATTTTTGCATTTTTATATCGTTTAAAATTGAATTTAATTTTAATTTTTATTTATTCCATGTTAATTTCTTAGCTAACTATTCCGATGATTTCCACTTTTTCAAATTTGATTGTCAAATTTATTTAACAAAAAAATAAATTAATTTAACTGTTTAAATCATACATTTTTCGCATCATCGATGCAATAAGTGAAGCTAACACGATTACCCAGCTTATTAACTTTAACATGTAAAAAATATTTGAAATTTTGAACCGTTTTCGAAATATCTTTGAATGATATTGCTGATGTGCTTCCCTGTAATAAATAAATAAATTATTGAATTAAAATAGAAATTAAATAAAATGATTAGATTTTTTTTTTTCTTATTAAAATATCTTTCGAATGATATTGCTGATGTGCTTCCCTGTAATAAATAAATAAATTATTGAATTAAAATAGAAATTAAATAAAATGATTAGATTTTTTTTTTTCTATTAAAATATCTTTGAATGAT